TTCAGGAGGGCTGTACGTTATGATGGATGAACGCTGTCTTCGGGCTGTGGAGGGGACCATCATATTCCTTATGTTTGATGATACTAGCCTGGAGCAGCTCGTATGGCCTTTGAAAGCGCAGACTCCAATAACCATTCTCTACCCTTAACTCTCTATGTCTTTAGTCCTTCCTCTTGTCCCCAGTAACCTGGGCTCACTCTGATCTCCCGTCTCTCATTTCCTTCCTTTTCCTCAGTCTATAAGCCTCCTTCGTGGCTTGACTGCTTCTCCATCTAGTGTAGACTTCCCTTGCATTATATGACTATTGTTTTTCCCACCATTCTCAACACTTTCCTAGTAATAACAAAAGATAACATTTATTAAGCATGTTTTAGGCATCAGGTGTGTTATGAACCACTTTCCATAGATAATCATATTTCATTCTTAAAAAAACCTCTGTGGTTAGATATTATTATTATCTCGAATTTACAGACGAAGAAACTGTGACCAAGCAAGCTTAGATATCTTGCTGCTGTCTAGCTTCAGAACCCATACCCCGTTAAATCATTGTGCTGGCATCTCAACAGTTACACCTTACCTGCCTCACAGTTGCCCCTTGGATCACTTTTGTCATCCACTCTTTCATTCTTATATCAGGACTTCGGAGAGCTGCTGGAGAAAAATCAGATTGGTGCCGTGGCAGAATGATGGTCTCCAGAATCACCTGGACTTTTCTCCGAATCCAGTTTACATGCACCACGTCAGGAAACTCTTTCTCTTTCTGCAGTGGTTATGCCAAGCTTTGAAGACAACCCTCAGGTCCTTTATCTTCCTCCCAGCTCTTCTGCTCTTAGCAAATGACTTTATGACTCCTCACTAAGCATAACATGACTATCAGGTGTAAACTGCCTCAATTTCCTGCCCATACGCTGACAAATAGACTTCTGTCTGCAACCCCTGTAGATGCTTTTCCTTCAGTCCAGGATGGTGCTTCTGTTCAAAACTGATCTTTGTGTCTGGACTCTATACCTTACACTCTCCCATCTAGAGAGAGAGAAGGCTCGTATCACATTTCTTGCTTTTTCTTCTGCACTTTTTGTCTCCTCATCTCCACTGGCTTCTTCTCTCTCTTATCCACATTCTCCATTGACAGGTTTGGGGCATACATTAGTCTTGTTTTTAGCAAGAAATCGACAGGACAGTTTGAAAGAGTTTAATGAAGAGAGTGTTTGCAAAGCTATGATCAGGCTGCAAGCAAACTATAAGCATTGTAGACATGCAGGGCTGAGGGGCATGAGAATTAAACAGTTATTGGAACCCCACACCCCCCTCCAAAAAAAGAGTTATATGGATAGGATCAATTTGGGGAGAGTTGGTCAAATGACAGAGCTGGTTTCTGTGGGAAGCTTTCTGAGAAATAAATAGCCCAACCTTATTCTTCTCCCTCCTGTTTCTTGCCAGAGCCTCTCATTGGCTAAACACAACCAGAGGCTAGAGGACAAAAGATTTCTTGTTATGTATAAGCCACAGAAATCAGCCTCTTAGAGCACAGACCTGGTGGAGAAGGATAGAAAGTGAATCTGGAGGGGCAAACAGAAGATAGAAATATTATATGCGATCATTTTTTTTTCCTGAACATCTTCACTCTAATTTTCTTTGGAATGCTAATTTTAAAAGACAAATGTCCATTAATTTTTTTTTAAATTGCCACTATTTTGTTTCTTGACAGTTGAAAAAAGCTCAAAAAATGTAATATTGAGAAATCTTTCTGATTTCTCGTTCCATCATTCTAAGTGTCCACTTACTATGTGTCTTCAATATAGTAGGTGCCAAAGAAATGATTGAATTTGTTTTAGCTACACTACACACCATTCTCCATTTGCTTGTATTTCTGCCGCCTGATAACTTCAAAAGCTTCATTCTATAAGAAACAAAGGTGAAAGAAAAATCAAAAACAAAAATACTCAGGATTTCCTCCCACAAGTATCACAAAACAAAACGTGGAGCGATGTAACGCATTGTAAAGGAAGATTAACTTTAAGGTAAGGAAATAGGCTTCGACACCATGCCCAGCTTTGGCTAAGCCACAGTGAATATGGCCAAACTGTATGTAGCCAGGGAAGCCCACCTCTTAGAACTGGCTGGCCCCACACCTGCACAAACACTCTTTTCAAAAGGATGCAATTATATCTGGAGGCCAGCCCCCCATTGCTCGTTCATCTGGACTTTCTCTTGCTTTTCTCTGTGTATCCAGCATATATCTTAGCTAGCCTAGTTTTGAAATGGATATGCCTGTGGCTTTCCTGGGATCATGATGTTGAAATGGTAGTTGTTGGCTTCCTGAAGTTGATCAAAGAGTGTCCTGGCTTGCTCGAAAGCGCTGAAGCCCCGAGTCTCCCTTGGGTCTGTCTGAAGGTTTGCACAGCTGTCTTATGTTCAGGATAAGGTGCATCACTACCAATTATGTTGTCATCATTATGTCCCAACATGGTAAAAGTTTGCCACCTGGGCCTAGAAAGAAAATATGGGAGTACACTGGTAGTTCTGGCCTGGGGAAAGGGTGACATGCAAATCTCAGCTTTATCTTGAAATCAGACAGCTCCTTAAGAAAACTCCATTGTCTTTTGAGGAAATTTGAATTGTGCTTACTTTTCAGCTTCTATTTTCTCTTCCAATTTTATATTTCCCTTTTTGATTCTACTTAAAAATGTTTCTTGCCATCAGGCATGAAATAGGGCAGGTACATGTCTGATTACCATCCTTTGATACCTGGACATCTGTTCTAGTCTGTAGACTAAGTGAGTTTCAAATGGCCAAGTGACCCTACAGAAACTTTTCTTTATTATTAGCAATTATACCTACACTTTGGTTGTATGCCACCATGTGAACAGTAGAGTTGGAACCAGGTGAAATGCATAGTGACTGGAAAATTGAAAAGGGCAGGAATGTTTTTCTTAATAGTCTCATTTGTTTTCACGTAATTAAAAACTCAGTATTGTATATACTACATTTAAATTAAAATAAGACCATTTTCAAATAGGGCTTTCATTCTTTCCCATTACTTTATAGTCTTCCTTATGTTTATTCTCTCCACAAATATTTATTGAGGGCCTTTTAATTGCCAAGTATTATTTTAGATTCTGAGATTACAACAGAGAAAAACAAGCAGTCTATCTGAATGCATCTATTTAAGTGAGGCAGAGATGAGTGCAGTACAGTACCTGGTAGAGATAAGGTGTATAAAGAAATGTGAAACAGTGTGAAGGAAGGTAGGGTTACATTTTACCTAGGATAGTCAGGGACGGCCTCTCCGAGGAGGAATCTTTTAGTGGAGATCTGAATGCTGTGAAGGAGTGAGCCAAGAGACCGCCAGAGGAAAGAACATTGAACCAATTAAACTCTATAGTTTGCGTGTGTATGAATGCATATGGCTACCCAGTTAAAGCACGTGATTGACAAATGCATATTTAGATTATATACTTTATATTCATCTTTGATGGTTAGAATAATGTGTCACCTGGATTGACCTTGGGCCACCAGATTAACTATTATTTCTGGATATGTCTGTCAGGGTGTTTCTAGATTAGATTAGCATTTGAATGGTCGACTCAGTAAAGCAGATTGGCCTCCCCAGTGTGAGTGGGCCTTACTCAATCCACTGAGGGCTGAATAGAACACAGTGTGAAGGAAGGAGGAATTAGCTTCTGTTTTTCCTGCTCACCGTTGAGCTGGGACATCTCATCTCTTCTTCTTCAGCTCTTGGGCTGGGATTTACACCACTGACTCCCCTGGTTCTTAGGCTTTTAAACTCAGACTAAATTATACCGCCAGCTTTCCTTGGTCTCCAGCTTGCAGATGGCAGACCCTGAGACTTCTCAGCCTCCACAATTGCATAGACTCATAATAAATCTGTGTGTGTGTGTGTGTGTGTGTGTGTGTATACACACACACATCTATATATAGTATACACATATACATAGAGATATATATAGAGAGACATATGTGTATATATATGAATATCCATATGTGTATATGTATACATATATATGTATATATACACACATATTAAATGAACATTTATAAATGCATGTATAAATGCTCTGTTTGTCTGGAAAACCCTAATAGTGTATCTGTCTGTCTATGTATGTATGTATGTATCTATCTATCTCTTTGTCTATCTATCATGTATCATTTATCTATCTATAAAGCATCTATCTATATCTGTTATCTATCTTTTACATATTTCTATTTTCTATTGTCTATCAATTTATCTCTCATCTATGTATCTTAACTAACCTCTCAGTCTCTATCTATTTTTCTATGTATATTGCTATGCTAGTTTGAGTTTCTGCTTGTGTGAAAGCCTGGTGAACTAGATGGCCATTCAGCCCCAGTGATGGTGCTAGTATATTCTTAACATGTATTGAATCATATTCCAACATTTAGGAATGATATGAAACAGGAATCAGGAACTGAGAAGCTTCAGTAACTAGGGAATGGGAGAACATTGCGCACTGAGCCTTAATGATTTGAATGGCTACAGTGGTCAAGTTCCATGGGTCAGTTATGTTCTTGGAAGCACAGTATGCTTACTCAGCAGCACTGAGTTCTTCAGTGGGCCCTGCATTTGTGTGGCTGGCGATCTGTATCGACTCTGAGAGATGAGCTCAACAATGAAGGTGGCAGGTGAGGGCACATCTGGAAGCATCAGTAGACCAGTTTGACTGGAACAGACGTTTTAAGAAAGGAAGGGTGAGAGTAAGTATTAGGAATGTAGGTGAAATTGTGGAGGGACTTAACACAGTGCTTTAAGCAAAGTCTTTATAGATGAGTAAGCCTTAGTTATTTCATCTCTAAAAGGGGATAAAATCCATCTCATGGGGTGAGAATGAGATGACATAATACATATAAAATGTCTAGCATTACGCGGGACACATTAAGTCCTTAATAAAGAATAACTGCTGCTACTGTGATAATGAAAGTGGAATTTAAAGATGATTAATGTGGCAATCGTGTGTAGGATGAGTTGGAGGAGGGAAATAGTGGAGTAAGGAGCCCAGTTACAAGATTGTTTTAACAGACTAGGCATAAATGTAGTACTAATGAGGCTGGGAAAAAAGGTCCCATGAGAAATCACAGAAGAAAAAATTAAGAAGCCTCAGGGACTGCCTGGGAATGTGCCATAAAGGAGATGGAGAACTTAAAGATAGCTAGGATTTGAGCCTGGGTGATGGGAAGAGTGATGGGCAGTTCAAAGTATGGAGCTGGTATTGATTAGGATTGTTAAATGACGATTCACCTAGAAGGGGTGGGCTGCGAGAGAGAGCATAGAAGAGGGTTCACAGTCGGGGAAGGAGGTTGAGGAGAATCAAGTAAAATAGACAAGTCCAGAGAAAAATGGCCCAGTATCAAGCCCTGATGGTCAGGGAGAGAATAATGTCAAGGATAAGCTGCCTAGTCATCTCTGTTAATTGGAGTAGAGAGTTGAGGACTTAAACCAGATTTCTTTCTCTCTCTAGTCATTTATCCTTCCTTCCTTCCTCCTTCTTTTATTCTTTCCTTTCTTTTATTTCCTTCCTCAGTTAAAGAGTGGGCCAAGTCCTGTGTCTGGTACTGGGTGTATATAGGAAATAAATGAGATCCTTGCTGTCAAGAAGTTCACTATCCAAAGTGAGTTAGAAAACAGACCGGGTACAAATGTGAGGAGTGGGCTCAATAAATGAGATCCGGTTATGTTGAATTGGGGGAGAAGGAATTAACCAATAAAGTAGAGATCTTTTCTTTCTGGAGATCCAGGAAATATTAAATAAGGAGATTTAGGTACGTTTGTTTGTTTGTTTGTTCGTTTATAAATCTATAGGTGACATGAGTATGTTTTCATTTATATGTGATGTGAGTGGATGTTGCTCTCAACTGGCTCCTTAAGGTAAGAAGCATGGGGCCTTTGATGGTAGAAGGTTGATTTTGATTTTCATTGGAATAATTTTGAAATGATCCATCTCATGATCATGATATATTACAGAATTGGTACTCTACTTTTCTTTCTGGATTAAGTAGCCCCAACTCGTTAATCCATCTCTGATGATGATCCGTGGACATACAGCAGCAGCAGCACCACCACCACCACCACTACCTGGGAACTGATTAGGAATGCTTTTCTCAGGCCCCATCCCAGACCTATGGAAGCAGACCTAGGGAAGGACCAGCCATCTGTGTTTTCAGGAGTTATCCAAGTGATTCTGAGGCCAGCTAAAGTTTGAGAACTCATGCTTTAGGTTCCTAGCATGGAGGCTTGCATTTAGTGGGGAATCAATAACACCTGTTGAATCGAATTAGTAATACCTGATGCTTTTTCTCCACAACTATCTGAGAGATAGTAACAGATTTTCAGGTTGAAATATTCAGGTTCTTGTAGACAGAGGAAGAAACAAAGATTTCTTCTCCTTTTCTGTCTGGCTTAATTTTCCTTTTTAAGTTAGTCTTAGCAGTTGTCATATTAAATTTGTTTTTCCAGGTTCAATTTGGAGATAGCTACACCCTCATGGTGACTAACAACCATGAAAGAGAATCACGGGTGGCCATGTGTCAGTGCCTTCTTCAGTCTCCATGTTTTATATGGAATCAGAGAAAGGCGTGCTCTCGCTTCGTTAAACCTCACTTCCTGGCCACAGGTCAGTATTTGGTTCTGTCGATTTATGCCACTTTTTTGGGACTTCCTCTCTTAGCTTTCACCCTGATCTCTGCTCTTTATACTTCGCAAGCTTCTTTTCCTGTCCTTAACTCTCTTTGTCCTCTTCGTTTTCATGATTTCAACCACATCCGTGGCTCCAACTCATATATCTAAGAGAATTTCTCTCTAATGTATCTTTCAAGCACAGCCCTTCATCAGAGTTCCACATCTGTATTTCTAACTGTCCTCTGGGATCTCCCCGTGACATCTTTCTGGTATCTTAAACTGACCCGGCCTGAACCAAGCTCCTCAGTTTCTTCTCTTATTCAACACTATCTCCCAGCTTCTCTATTTCTGTCTAGGGTGTCATTATCCTTTAGTCACACCTGAAAGACCAGACTCAACTTTAATGAGCAGGATCGAGGTGAGGGCAGGATTAAGGAAGCCTCAGCACTGAGGCCCTTCCCCTGTGATTCCCTCTCAGTGGTGCCCTGTGTTTGCTTACTTCCTCTTTTCTTGTTTAGTCTTTCATTACCTCTCACCTCAGCTACTGCAGCTAACTACTTTCTTCTCTGTGTGAGAAAAGAGGAGATGACTGCAGAAAATAGCCCTTAGCCTTTCTTTCTCATTTTCAAATTCTAAAATCATTATTAGATATGTGGGGAAAATCCTCTTGCTCGGCAGTTGCATAATAAAACTCTTTGTGGCAGCTTGTGCAGCGTGGGCTGGAGAGCATAAACAAATGGAGGTCATTCTGCCTTCTGGGGGGTTATTTTTAATATCCAAGATTTTTCAGTTCCTGCTCATTTCCCCTGCTTCTTGCTTCAGAAGTTCCTCACAGCTAAATCTATTGATGGCGTCCACAAAACTTAAATCCCAGAAAAGAATGCATAATTTATTCACAGGGGAGACCCTCAGACCTTCAATCAAAACTTAAGTAATAATGTATTAGACAGATTCTCACACGTGTTATTACCTGGCTTTGCACAGCACGTAGAAACAGCAAATCAAATTTCTGAAAGGAGAGAGACTACTGATAATGCCAGGATTTGCTGACATTAAGAGTGACCTTTTAGAACGAGCAAGGGAAAGAAAGGAAAGGAATCAACATTTTTAAAAAGGTATTTACATTCATTGTTCAGTTAATTCTGACAAAAACTCTTAACAGATTAGGAAAATCAGACTCAGAGATGTTGAATAACTCACTCAAGGTCACATTTCTATGAGAAGTAGAGATTCTAACTTGAGTGTCTCGGAGCCCTGTAACCAATTTTATCTTTATTAAGCCAGCATTTTCCAAAACGATTCTGCGGAATATTCATTGAAATTATGACAGGTGTTCTGTGTAAAAGGTCCATCAAGTTAAAGAACGATCTCAACTCTGCTTTTTTATACTTGACTTTACTCCCTACCCCAGCCCCTGGCAATTGATCTCTTCTCCGTTCCTATAGTTATGGCTTTTCCATAGCTGTCATATAAATGGCTTCATGCAATATGCAACCTTTTGGCTTATCTCTTCTTTCTTCACTTAGCAAAATGAATTTGAGATTCATTATGTTGTATGTATCAACACTTTGTTCTTTTTTTTTGCTAAATAGTATTCCATCATATAAATGTACTTAGAAAACATCTAGTTAGTTTCTACTTTTTGGCAATTGTGAAAAAAGCTGCTATGAGCAATTGCATTTTTCTCCTTTCCTCTGTTCTTTGGACTAATTCAGTATTTTACATGATTTCATTTTGTCTCCATTATATACTTTTTAGTGATACCTCTTATTTTATTTTTTGAGCAATTGTTCTAGAGTTTACAGTATGAATATTTAATTTTTCACAATCTACCATTTCATGTGCAATTTAAGACCTTTATAACATGTATTTCCATTTCCTTCATTCTGGCTTTTGACTTGTACAAAGTTTAAATCAAATTTTATTACTTGATTCACAGTCATTTCCACTGCACCACCGGGGAAGGCTTACTGTTGTGAGACACTGGGAATACTAAGACATAGACCCAGTCCCCAAGGCAGTTACATGAGAATATGTGCATATTTAAATGCAAAATAATTATAATAGGGCAAAGACATATATATGGTAAAAGTCTAATGACCAGAACAGACACAAAATCAACTCAGAGGGATCAACATGGTTTGAAGTGGCCAAGAAAGGCTCCAACAAGAGGTTGGAATGCAAAAGAAGGATTTGACAAGGAAAGGATTTTGTTAATTGAACAAAAATGAACAAGGTGGCAACTCTAGAATTTAGTGGTAGCCAGGTGAATTTAGTGGTAGTCAGCTTGATTAGAATGTGGAATTGAAAATGCAAATGGTAGAATATAAATTTTGAGAGGATGGCATAATAATTTTGTAAGATAAAGCACAATATTTTTTGCAGAACACTATCTCATTATTCTATAAACTGTATTTCTATAGTTTTGTCCCTTTGTGCTATTCCATCCCATTGTTTTAGGTAACAGTGATTTGTTATTCAGCTTTCCGAAAGCAGCTCTACTTTCATAAACCCGTGTCTAATAACTGTTTGTTAATGAATTACCAAAGCGAAGAAAGCAGAGCCGGGAGGCAGAGAATTTAATAAGTAATGGAGAAAATAATAATGAGAGTCTAATAGGGAATATCACTTTTAGTCTTAAGGAAAAGTTGCTCGAAAAGGAAGAACAAATATTTTTAGTCTCATTCTTTCTTCTTTTCAGTTCTTCTGCTGTCCTGTACGTTATATTTACCTCTTGAAAATATATATATCTCTAATTCATTTCTCATGTCACAACTCATACTGCTTCTTAAGCCTTAATTAATATTTCAATGACCCACTTAGTGACCTCACTTCATAGTTGTTGCCTGAAACCAGATGTGGGAGGGGGCCCGTTGCCTCTTTCATGGAATTGCCTAGTTTGCTGTGCAGGTATTCACTATTTCATGGCATTTCTCAAGAGGAACATTTTATCAAAAAAAATAATTCAGATTGATACATGGAGACTGTGTTTTGGTCAATAGTATATTACTTCTGTTTAATAAGTGATGTGTAAATAAAGTTTCCATATGATTGCTAAAATGGCGCTATGACCCTTACTCCTACTGCCACCTCTAGCAATACACACACATTGCCACAGACTACTGTTATCACCAACACTACTTTCATTTTCATTACTGTTATCACTATAGGCTATTCTACTCAGCACTGCGCTCGGCATTGTCTCTGTATTGTTTCTAATCAGCCAAGAATCCTGCATTATTGTCCTCATGCTCCATGAGCAGGCTGATTATCACAGAAATGAGGTAACGTGTCACAAGTTAGTGATCAGTAAAGCCAGAAATTAAGCCTAAACATGTGTGAATTTAAAGCGAAAGTTCTTTCAGCCATCATAAACAGCTATCAAGCAACCTTTGTTCATTTAACGATTCGTTTTTCACAACCTACACTGGATGCCCACAGCGCTTGTGCTTAGAAACCTATTGTTCAGATGTTCACCAGTGTCTTTCTAATTGTCTTAATGTTTTTCTGTTTTTATTTTCTTTCTCGTTCTTTTTATTTCTCTCCTTTTCACTCCAAGTTAAATGTCTGATCTGTGGTTGGGGGCCTGTGTGGTGGTGATCATTCCAGTGACATTGATTTTGTTTTAAAAGTGCTGTTTGGCACCATTTTCAGCATGAGATTATCTCATCATAATGAAAGGTTGGCACTTAAGTAGCTTAATATTCTTAGAAGTGGTGGTATATGGCAAATCTAGTTTGAGTCTTTTTTTGAGGGGCAGGGATGTGTGATTGTGCATCATGGTAAAATAAGGCTGCTCACTTATTTTAAATATAGTCACGTGGAAACATTTGCACTCCGATAAATAGCCAATAGGGTCTACTCTCAGGTTAAGCCATATCTGTGTTTCTTATAAAACATTAACTACTCTAGTTGCTGGTTTTAATTATTCCATGCTTTGCCACTCTAGCTCCTACTCCATACTTCAAATTGTATTTATTTTTTGTGATTCCTAACCCCTTGAATTTTCATCTTGTCTTGCTATGCTTGGAACTTTTATCCTGCCTTCATCAAAAGAGCAGATACTATTGGTACTTCTCCTCCTCGTTGTCCTCTTCCTTTCTTCTCTTTCTTTTTCCTTCTTTTCTTCTCTTTCTTTCTCCTTTTCTTCTTCTTCTTCTTCTTCTTCTTCTTCTTCTTCTTCTTCTTCTTCTTCTTCTTCT